TGCCCAGCACTGTGCTGAGTGCCCCAGTGCCATCCCATTCTATCCACACTGCTCCCTTGAGGTGAGCACTGGTACCCATGATGAGGACACTGAGCATCGGGTCACACAGCAGAAATTCCAATCTAACGCTACGATTCTCTTAGGTTTTTGTTACTGTTTTGCAGTACTGGGGTTTGAACTCAGAGCCTTCACCTTGAGCCACTCCACCAACACTTTTTTGCAATGGGTTTTTTTTTCTTTTTCTTTTTCTTTTATTATTCATATGTGCATACAAGGCTTGGTTCATTTCTCCCCCCCTGCTCCCACCCCCTCCCTTACCACCCACTCCGCCCCCTCCCTCTCCCCCCCACCCCCTCAATACCCAGCAGAAACTATTTTGCCCTTATTTCTAATTTTGTTGTAGAGAGAGTATAAGCAATAACAGGAAGGAACAAGGGTTTTTGCTGGTTGAGATAAGGATAGCTATACAGGGCATGACTCACATTGATTTCCTGTGCGTGGGTGTTACCTTCTAGGTTAATTCTTTTTGATCTAACCTTTTCTCTAGTACCTGTTCCCCTTTTCCTATTGGCCTCAGTTGCTTTAAGGTATCTGCTTTAGTTTCTCTGCGTTAAGGGCAACAAATGCTAGCTAATTTTTTTAGGTGTCTTACCTATCCTCACCCCTCCCTTGTGTGCTCTTGCTTTTATCATGTGCTCATAGTCTAATCCCGTTGTTGTGTTTGCCCTTGATCTAATGTCGCGATGGGTTTTTTCAAGATAGGGTCTCATGAACTATTTATTTGCTTTTGGCTGGCTTTGAGCCGCGATCCTCCTGATCTCTGCCTCCTGAGTAGCTAGGATTACAGGCATGAGCCACCGGCACCCGGCTATTACTCTCTTAATTTGCCCATCAAGTGACCTTTATAAGATTGCAAACATAGAGGAGAAATAGCTACACAAGCAGGGCCAGGTCCAAGCTAGTAAGCCTTGTGAGCAGAGGTGGTTGGACACTGTGTTTCTTTGCAAATCCAAGGCAGCAGCTCTCACACTTGACCAGGAGGGCTCCCTGCAATTCCTTATGTATTTCTCATAGGTTCTCAGATGCTGCTTGTCTAAGGACTTCACTTTCAGGACCACTAATGGCAGTTTCTCATACCTCACCTGTGTCTCTAACCACACCCCTCAGGTCACACCCCGGGTTTGTTAACCACCACTGTCAACATTACTGCTTTCATTTTCTTTGTTTTGTTTTTGAAAGTTAATTAAATTGAGAGTATTTCCCCTAAGACAATACTTTTCACAGAGTTGGTGTTTAGTAAATATTAGTTGAAGTGAGTGGATGGATAGATTTAACATCTCCATTTAAGTACCTTTGCATCTTCCTAGGGAAGAAGGGACCAGAATTTTTTCAAGTGTGTGTGTATTTTGTTTTGGCTTTGTTCTGTTATTTTAGAAAAATATTAAGTCTTGTATAGTATGACATTTAGCATAAAGGTTAGCTCAAACACTTGGACCAGTGACAGTGGCTACATAATTAATAAAAGCATATAAATAATTTTAGTATTTAAGAAAAATGTGTTCTTTATTTTCAGTCACTAGATGGACTTCCTCAGCACAAAACTTATTAGGCCAGACCATCTTCAGTCTGTTTAAACACCACAGTTTCACCTGTCTACCTATGTGGACCTACTCTTTAATGGCTTTTTCCCCAATAATTTGCACCAAATATGAGCATTGGTCATTTTGAGTAGTGAGATTTTAATTATTTCCAAAATACTTCTTTGTACTTTACTTTTATGCTTGAATTTTTATAGTGAGCATTTATATTTTTTAAATAAACATGTTGAAACTGAATCAAAAGGGGAGGAAGAAAGGGGACTAAGAAAGTAATATAGAGGGTGACTTTGATCAAGGTACATTATATGCATGTATGTGTATAAATATAATAAGAAAATAAAAATAAAGGTAAATCAACCAGTGTGGCTTTATTTTAAGCAGTAATTTATAATTGAAATTATAAATTTATTTTTATATTTAACATGATCTTTATAATTTTTAAGTATGCAATTAAGTAGATTATTAGATATTAGGAAGCACCTCAGATTAGTTCAGGTGTCATCAGTTATATGTGAACAATTATACTGTATAATAATGCCCTTTTATATTACAGTAGCTTTTAGATACCAGACAATAGCCCTTGAAATATTAGATAGCTATAAATATTTCTCTCAGATTTTCATTTTCCTTTAACTTTATAATTTTTTTGCATTTTGTTTCTTTTCCTTTTTTTGCTCAACTGACTTCTCTCTACTTAAGTAAAGTGTTTTTTAAGTCTTTGCTAATGTCTGTGTTTTTTCTTTAGGCTATGCTTACCCATCCCATAATTCCATATTCACCCATATGTTCCTCATACTTTTTGATTTATCGTTAGTGTTGAATGTTGGTGTGAGGTGGAAACCTAATTTTACCTATTTCCCCAAAATGTCCCAATTCATCCTTTACTCACTTATTTGAATGCCACTTTTATCATATATTGGAACCTTGAATCATATACTGAAAACAGCTACGACCTGTTTCCACACTTGTTTTTTCTCTCTGGACTGTATCTGTTTCTCTGCTAGCAACATACTCTTTTTAGTTAATGTAGCATTAGAATACATGATATGTATCTGTTTAGGTAAAACTACCCCACTACTCTTCTAAACTATTTTGCATGTTCTGAAGTCTTTATTTTTTAAATGAATTTCAGAATTGCTAAAATCAAGTTTTAATGCAGCTTTTTAGGAAATTTGACTAGGATTATATTAAGTGTATACATGAAGGGAGAACAGATAATATTTGGATATTCCCTCATTGCAGTATTCGTCATGGTGAAAGATAGTTACGTGGCTAGTAGTCTCACGCCTTGCCTGAGAATTCGTTTACTGTAATGTCTTAATAGTCATATTCCCAGTGCCTAAATTCAGAATCTTGCGCAAGTATTGGCTGAATATGCACGTGTCGAAAGTAAGTGGATAAGCAATGGTTGTTATGGAAAATTTGCTTACCTTTTGAGTCTGGGGTTAGACTGTAGAATAGTGAAAAACATGAAGATGAAAGTAAACACAACTTTTATTGCTGTAATGCTAGTGTTAAATACACTCACAAACTTTTTATTATTAGGAATTTAATTCTCATAAGAGTTCTTACAAATTTTTCATAAAACTATAGTGGTAGAGTTGTGAACTGATACATTAAATTAAAATCTGATAATTTCCAAATTCTCAATTACCAGTGTCAGTTTGCTTTGGTACATAAAGTAACCAACTTATTTAGGTTTTTTAATATAGTTACATAATTTGGTAAAATTTCAAAACGAATCTACTAAAATATTATATATACTTTCAATAAATGTATACTTTCAATAAATGTGACCGTTACTCTACCTTAACGATAAAGCATGAGTACTAAATAAACAATGCAGTTTTATGAGAGAAGGCTATTATAAGTGGAATGTATCTACCAGACACATGACTAAGAAAAAATAATTGACTTTCTTCAATTGAAAATAAAATTTACTTTGTAAAGAATGGTGGTTAATAGTTTGAGTGGGAATTGTGTTCAATGACTTATGTAGTCTTTTCAGGATAAGTTCATTTAAATTTCTCTATTAAAACTTCAGCAAATTCAGAAATAAATTAATGAAGATAATCTATCTAAATTCATAAAGCCTTTAGAACACTGCCTCGCACATAGTATAAGTCTGTTAAGCCATTCAACAATTTAAAAAAAAAAAAAAACACTCCAGAGGAACTAATACAGAAACCTTAAAGCGACAAATGTTAACATGAGAAAGGGATCAGGAACCAGTGTAAAGATCAGTTAGAGATGAGTCAACTTGGATTGTAATACATTTGTACACGAAAGCAATGCTAGGAATCTTTCTGTGTAGCTATTCTTAACTAGCAAAAACGCTTTGTCTTCCTTATTATGCTTATGTCTTCTCTTCAACAAAATTAGAAATAAGGGTAGACTAGGTTCTGCCTGGAAGCGAGGGGGGTAAGGGAGTGGGGGCAGAAATGACCCAAACAATGTACACACATGTGAATAAATTAATAATAAAATTTTTTTTAAAAAAACAACCGCTAGTAGGTGGGCCCTAGTGTTAAAAACAAGCTTCTGTTTTAAAACTTTATAAAAAAATACATAAAAGGTTCTTCTAGTAGTAGGTATCAAATATTTCTTGGATACCATTTGTATTCACTGAGCTGGTAAGGTCACAAAAGAAAAGCATTACTTGACTTCTACACTTAGCACAATTGAAAAAGAACACCAAAATATTTGAATATTAATAGCAATGTTTCATTTGCATGTTTTATTATGTGAATAGTGATTGAGTGAATTGGACCAATAACACAATGCTGAAATTTCCAACATCTTAGCACCTCAGTTTCCTATTGTTTTTCTCAACATGAAAAATCAGGACAGAGATCAAGGAACCTCAGCATTCTATGTAATATTCTCTTTTAAGCTGTGTGGTGGATCATGAGTTCATTTTTATTATGCATTTACAACTTACATGTTAGATATTCTTCTGTATATGTCAAATATTTCATAGTAGAAATTGTTTTAAAAATAAATCAAGGAGAAGAACTGTTCCCCAGTACTACCAAGTCTTATATGTTCCTTACTATAAAATGTTGAGCCTGTCCACAGAAGTCCTTTATGTTAAAGCAGATATTCATTATAATCTGAACACTTTTATATAAAAATAAGCACTAACCTTAGAATCAGAAACTGTCTGGTGCACTTAAAAGGATGAAAAATTTAAATCTATAACAATGTGGCTATTATTCATTGTTTGGTGACCATCACTGTGTAAGTTATTTCTAATAAATTTGAGCTATGGTTATCTTTTCTGAGTACACATATTTAAGTTTTGCCACTTTGTCCAAAAGATAATTCAAGACATTAGCTGTGTTTCTGCTGATAAGTGTAATTTTCATGGTGTTAAGTGTTCATATGTTTTCTTTTTGGAAGAATCAGAATGGATAATCAATACACCGCTTTGGCCTTGTGATAGGCTGGATGTGCTTAATCGACATAACTTGCTTTGTACAATCGCACATGAAATCTTAGCCAAGAGCCTTTACAGACAAACATTTGAAGTTTTGCAGAACCTACCAGGTTTTCAGAATTCTCAAGGTATTTTTTTTAAGTCTAATTTACCTTTTGCCCATCTGGTGTTTGACTGTTAGTAAGAAAAAGTTCTCTACCTGTTTGGGCTGTATTGTATATTCCAGAATATTTCAATGAAGTCATTTTCTATAAAATGTGTTCTCTGCAAATTGAAAATGCTTTCCTGATGGTTTTGAAAGCCCAGAGATGCTTATCTTTGAGTTGTTTGTCAGCATTTTCATCATTCTACTTTACCCACCTGTCAACTCATCAGAAAACAGTATGCTCAAGGATCCCCACCCAGCATTGATCTTAAAGAATTCATCATACTGGAATAATGAAAAACACTTTTTCTCCAATCACTTAATGCATATAAAATGTTGTTTACATTACCTTGGAAGGTTAGTAAACTTGCAGTAATTGGAGAAAGTGAAACAGATGACAGGTTCAGAGAAAGAACACCAGTGCAGGCCATGGTGTAGTTAGTATTCTTAAATTCATAGATGGAGAAGAGGGGTCCATCAGCAAAAGCTTTGGGTCAGGAATTAGCTATGTGATTGCTTCAGAGGATGATGAAACCTCTTTGGTGCTTTTATCATGTCCTATAAATCTTCATTTTTACATTTACTCCACAGAGATGCTGTATCGTAATTACTATTCTTATCTGCTTCTCCTTCTAGAGAAGGAGCGCTCTTTCATGGTAATGATGTTTTCTTTCTCTTGGTATCCTTGGCATAATGACTGCTATTTAGTAGGCCCTAATACCCAGTTGTATTGATAATGAAGCAAAGTAGCCATCAGGAGATTAGATAGATAGTTGCACCAGATTTGGGAAGACCATAAATGGCAGGCTAAAGGAGTTTTCTTTATGTGTAGTACAGGGTTACGACACATAAAAGGGCCTTGGGAGTGAGGTAACAAAGGTGATGTTTTAGGAAAGTTACTCTGCTAGGAGTGTTTAGGAAGAGATTAAAGGTAAAGTGATTAATTTCCTAATAAGGCCTGAACTGCTGAAAGATCTTAAAGTGACAAAAACCTAGTGCCTCAGACTGGAGACATGGCTCAAGTGGTAGCTTCCCTGCCTAGCAAGTGCAAAGCCCTGAGTTCAAACCCTAGTAGCTCAAAAAAAGACCTATAGCCTCAGTCACAGACCCAGCCTTATAAAAAAAAAGAATTGAAAGTCTCCAAAATAACTTCTCTTTCCTCTAAGAATAACTAAAGGAATACTCATTAAAGAATTTTCTAAACTTGAGAATGCATACGTTAGGAAATGATGTATTTTTAGTCATGGGAAATCTAAGGTGAAGTCTGAGCTGAAGGTGATGGGAATATGAACAGAATCATGAGCTCACTGGAGACATTGCATATGCAGTCTCGGGGACCAAATACAGGTGTGTTCATGAAACCTCAAAATCTTTGTAATAGAGAATGTGGAAAGAAGATTGACAAGGAAATGAACAGGTTTGATTTTTTTCAAATGCTTTTTGTTTCTTAGATGATTGCATGTTAGTGACTGTAACTTCTATAGCTGGTAAGAAAGGCCAAGGGAAAAAGAAAGGAGTGAAAGGTAGAGGTTTAAGAGACTTAAGTAGGTCAATTTCACTATATCTTTTTGTTCTCATTTTCAGAAACCATGGAGGTCTCACAGTATAGCCTTCTTTTTAATAAACTTCTAGATGCCTGTATAGAAAGTAACAGTCTTGGCATGTCATCTTCTGTAGCAGAATTCATGATTTCAAAGAGCATTCCTATTGATTTTTCCTTTCTTAGAAGATTAATTACTTCTTTAGGAAGGAGTTGTTTATGGCTCAAGGCCAGAACTCACTACAAAAGTAAGTTCCATTTAAAAATTTTAAGTTCAGTATATTGGTTTTGAATTTTATTTTCCATGATCATAATAAAATAATAGTTCAAACTATATATTTAAGTATGTAAAAATAACAGTTGATACATAGTCACAGGTAGTGGTCTGAACAGATCTGTCTTTTGAAATCTGTTATTTCTCTTCTGTATCTTTAATTTTTTGCATGCCTCTTACATGTTTGCTAAGAGGGCAAGCAAAGGAAATAAATAACAAAATTTGAACCAGTTTGACATATCTTCTAAGAAATATAGAAGTAAAATAATTGAGTTGGTTGAAATTTAAATGTCTGTATGTCTTATTTATGCCTGCACTGCATCCCTGATCTTTATAACTTAGAATATTCTATAGCAAGCCATATAGGAAATAAGGAAATACAGAAGCTGCCACATATAGCACATATATGGTACATAGTGGTTTTTCACATGGCTTCTAGTAATAGAGCTTTGTGTATCTATGTACAGCTGTTTCTAACAAGTAAGCCTTCTCTAGACTTTCTCTAGACTGAACCACTTCAACAGTATTTTAGTTAAAGTAATTCCATGTGGAATCTAGATCTAGAAAAGGATTTTTTTTCTGCCCTCATGCAGTAAGTTGTCTTAAATTTCCATTTTTTACCACTGTAATGTACGTAACAAATATCTGAGTGTCCATGTGAGTCTTCCTGTACTAGATGTATCAACATCCTGTCTATCCATACCTGAACTAGGAATGTTTTCAAACCACCAGCCATGATCAATTTAGCAGGTGATGACTTTTTTTCTCCAGTGAATTGAGAAGATAAACATTAGGGTATATTACAGGTAGTAAGGTTAAGAATTCAACACAATTTTCATTTCAGTTATATATATGTATGCTGGATCATTATATAAAATATATTGAAATCAGAAAAAAAGTTTTGAGAGAATTTTTTTAAAAGATGCTTAGAAATGTAGGAAAGAAGAATTGTGTTTATAGCACCTCACTTCAATTTTGTCATTATGTTCCAGTTCTTCATACTATTTCCCTGTGTCTACAGAATACGTACACACTTTTTTTGCTGTATTTCCTGATGTTAGTATTTAGAATGGAATAATTTATTTTTCAAATAACTGCAACTTGGGGAAAATGCCATCAGAAGGTGGTTGGTTGACTTGCTTGCTTTGGGGTTTTTTTGTTTTTTTTTTGAGGCTGGGGTGTATTGCAGATGATCAAACCCACATGCCGAGCTATACTATACTCCCAGCCCTAGGTGTTTTCATACCAAATACGAAGTTGGAAACATTTCAATGAAATCATGACACAGCTTTCGATTTTTTAGTTGGAAATAAAATTTTATATCAAAGCAGCTAAACTTAAGCATTTATTTTTAAATTTTTAACAGCATTATGAGATCGTATCCAAATACCATATAATTCATCACTTAAAATCCACAATTCAATGGTTTTAGTGTATTTACAGAGTTGTGTAACTATTACCAGTTTTAGCATATTTTCATCACTCCCAAAAGAAACTCCATATCCATTAATGTCACTCTTCATTCCCTCAACTCCTTTGACCCTAATAAAAATTAGTTTTAAGACAGTTTTTAGCCATCTGTTAAAGCAGTTAATGTCTGTGTATATTGCAGTGCCATCATAGTAGCACATTGTCTTTTCTTAATCACACCTATGCCTTACTTCATATGCAGTGTAACTTCAAGATTTATGCATGTAGATCACAGGGAAGATTCTTTTTGTCCTTAAAGAATGTAACTGAATTATAAAACCAAGCCATTTATAGCCATTGATTGGTCCTCAAAACACCTCAGTGTTGACATTTATTACTAAAACATCTTTAGATTTATCTTCAGATATAGCTTACTTCACACTTGCAAGAAAAAATTTTTGATGCCTTATAACCACATCTGTAGTATGGGGAGTCTTTTTTTTTTTCTTTTTTTTTGCCTAATTTCAAAGGTAGTAAATTGTCAGTTTAAAATGAGGTAACACGCCATGCCTTTAGCAAAGGTAACTGGTTCACAGAGATTTAACAATCACCATCTAACAAAGCATTTTAAACATAGTTTACACACAGATTTAAATTTATGTTGGAACATATTTTACTGCCTGAGTACAATTTGGATGTGTAGGAGTACTGAAGGGGTTTTCCCTGTTAGTCACTTCTAATGAGCATCTAAACAGTTGAAAAGCTGAATCTCTCTCTTGAAAGGTAAAGTTTGTAGAAATGAATTAGCGAATACAGCTACAACACATGGAGATGTCTTTTATATCTAGTGCTTATACTATAAATAAGTACTCTCAGAACTACTATAACAACTATTTAATGGCAAATATCTTCACATTATAATTTCTGTTGTCTATCTAATATTTTATATTCATAATTCAAGATAGACAATAAAGTTGCTGTAGTCCCAATCCCATTAAAACAAAACCTAAACAGCTATTGTGGATGAGTTTGTGTTTTTTTTTTTTTTAACTTCCTTTTTCATTCTTTTTGTTTTTGAAGCAGGGTCTCACTGTCTAGCACAGCTGGCCTGGAACCTGAAATCTTCTTGCCTCACCTCACAGGTGCTGGGATTACAGTTGTACACCCATAATTATATTTACTTATAGCTTAAAATAAATGGGCATTTGCCAGAATAAAACTCAAGTTATTTTTCAGAGTTTTTAATAAGATTTCCCATTTTATATTTGATGTTTCAAAAGTTTTTAAAGTATTTCTCACTTTATAATGATGTTTCAAAGTCATTTTATAAAGAATACTAGGATAAACTCAGTGCCATACAATATGTATAGTGAAGCTGCTAAAGGGAAGAATTACTCTGTATTGTGACTAATTGTCTCTTGTAGATGTTTTGGAAGTCTAGGTTTTTTTTTTTTGTTGGGGTTTGAGTAAAGTCTGACCTTTACTTAATTTTCAGGTGCTCTTTCATTGGGTTGCTATCCACCATTAGAGGGAAATTTATACCGAAAACTTCTACTGATTCCTTCTTATTTATCTGAGATTGAAATGCTTTTAGCTATCGAAATCTTCCTGGTATCTAATGCTAGTAGTATTCAGAGTCCTGGAACTTCTACACAGATGCTTCAGATAGTTTTGAAAAGGTTAGTTGATACAACTTTAACTGCATTTTGAATGCAAATCCCGGCCTAGGAGATAGATGTGTGTATATGTTTATTTATACCTTACCTATTTGTTGCAGACTTTGTTAACATTTAAATTGAGAAAGAGACCTATTTGAGACTTAAAAATAAACAAGTTAAGAGACTAGGATTATAACACAGTGGTAGAGTGTTTGTTTAGCATGCTGGAGACCCTGAGTTTGATCCCCAGCACCAGTAAATAGAAAAACAAGTTAATAGTATTCAATGAGGGCTGGCAGAGGGGCTCAAGTGGTAGAGACCCTGCTTAGCAAACATAAGGCCCTGAATTCAAACCCTAGTATTCCACCCCCCCATCAAAAAAAAGTAAATGTAACAGTATTCAGTAAACACATTAGTGACTTCAAAGATGTTGGATATTCAAAAAGATGGCTCTTCTTTAAAGTGCTAATCTTTTTTGTGCTTACTGTTTGGTACCTAAAAGGTCTTTATCTTTCTGCTTGCCCTAAAAGAGCTAAGGACCAGTTTTTAAAAGAGAAATAGTGATAGTTTATTAGGTTCTGTCCAGAACACTGTTGAAATAAAGCCAGCAGCTAGCCTAGTTTCTAAATTTTAAGGTGTTATTATCTATACATAAATATAATCTATACATAGTATAGGTGTTGGACCAGAGTGACAACTTTTCAATAATGTTGTTCAAAGTCTCAGAATTTAGATTTATGCCCCTCTTGAGTTCTTGTCAGCCTTATCCAGGAAACCTGCACTATAAGGATCAGATGGGACTCCTGTTTTGAAGCTTCCTGACAAAAATTTTGCTTCGGTTCACTGTTGTTACAAACCAGATATTCAGATTGAATATTAAATTAGATACGTATTACAGTATAATAAATTGCCTCAAAACCTAGTGGCTTAAAATAGCAAATATTATCTTAGTTTCTGTGGGTCAGAAATTTCAGAGCAGTTCAGCACAGGGTCTTTTATGTAGCTCAGTTTTCCACATAGTTGGTGTCAGGATGTCTGGAGCTACAGTCACCTCTGTGACAGCCTGACTGGGGCTAGAATACCTCTTTCCTAAATGACTCAAATAATCTGTTGGCAGGAAGCCTCAGTTCAACACATGAGCCTCTCCCTAGGTTGCTTCAGTGTCTTCCCAGTGTAACAGCTGACTTCTCCAGGAGTAAGTGATCTTAGAGAGAAAAGGCAAGGAGAAAGGCACAGTGCCTTTTGTGACCCATATGAAACAAGAACTGTGGAGGATCTCAGATTTCACCCTATTTGCAAGATTCAGGTTAGCCTGCCACAGTTTCATGCATGCAAGCATAAGACACAAGACTCCTGTGCTAGGGACAGAGTACTTTATTTCTTGTAGCAGAGCAAATAAGCATGATTATCTGCATACTTAATCATTCTTGCTCCGAATTCCCACAGATGGGCCCATATAGATACCTAAACATAAAGTGAGTTACAGGAAAGGAGTCCAAGCTTAGAGAACACAAATCTTTTATAATGGGTAACAAGCCTGCTTGCCCTGTGTTCTGCAGAAGGATACTAATGCGCTAAGCAAATCTGGCTTTTGCTCCAGGAGAAAGTTTGTTGTTCTTGATATAAAGATCCTTTAAATTTAGAATACAGGACAGCCGGTGTCTCTTGAAAAATTTCTCAAAATTCAGGAGACCCATGGGAAATTGTCATCCAGCAGTGTGTCCAGAGTTGCTCAGGGTCATTGGCTTCCTTTTTGCTATAGGAGTCATTTAGTCTGGCCCACACTTAGAAGAAAATAATTTTGAGTCACAACTTAAAAAAAATTCACTAAAGTTAGTTTTTTTGTTTTGTTTTGTTTTGTTTTTTTTTCCTTATAGCTCTACTTTCTGAGAGCTTCCTTGTCACTGTGCACTGTAGCAGCTCCAGGGATCTGGGCTCCCTCATTCTAATGATCACAGTCACAACTGATGGCAGATGGAGCTGATAGAAAAGTTACTAGAAAAGCAAATCCTAACACTTAGTCCTTAAGTTAGGACTGAAGAAAATAATAAGAAATTTAGTAAAGGCACATACCTATAGTTTGTTACCACATGTTAGCTACCTAGTAAGTATTTCCTTGTAACTAAAAATAGCCAATGTCAAGATCAAACTAGCATTGGTAGTAATTCTAGATTTTATTACATTTAATATAATTTTATGCAGTGTAATGAATAATTATATAATTATTTGCAAAATACATAGATTTAGCTAATTAGCTGTGTTCTAGATCAGTGTCTTTGAAAGCCTCCGTTGCAGCCTGATTTGTGATGAAATCATTTTAGGGTGTTGCAACCAGCATTCTTAAAAATGAAAAACAACAGAAAATAGAACCCATAAGCATCAGGGCAGGTCTTGTTTTGTGGAACTTTTGCTTCATTTTTACATATAAAGGTATATTACTGGGTCACAGTATGATGTCCTTCTTGCTGTGGGTCATGGACCCAAAAGTTTGAAAGCCACCACTAAAAGAATATGATAAAAAAGACTATAAATTATGGAACCAATAAATGTAAATGACTCTTGAAGAAATCGTATGGCTGCTCTTTCGAATTTTTGACTTTGTGAGGTGTTCACTTTATAGATGTGAAGAAAACAAATCACGAAGCAAGGATGATTATCAAGCTGCAGTAGAAAGATTAATTATGGCTGCTCGGATATCAGATCCAAAGCTTTTCATTAAGCACATGACTGTCAACGTTAATAAGGAGCAGGTTTACAGTTTGGAACAGTGTTCTGCCTTGAAGTGGTTGAAAGAAAATATGAAGTGGGCTGGAAAGGTTTGGCTTTTCACTAACCATTAGTCAATAAAGGCTGGTTTTTTTTTTTTTTTTTAGTTCAAGTAATCATTGTTGAAAATAAAAATAAAGAGCTTTCATTGTATTCTGTTTGTGTTCTTTATTGATGTACAGTGAGTAAACAAATGCTTTTCCAGCAATAAATAATTTTTTATTGAAGCTGGCTGGGCATGGTGGCCCACACCTGAAATCCCACCACTTGGAAGGCTAAGGACCTCAAGTTTTAGATTAACCTGGGCTACATAGCGAGGCCCTATTGAAAAAAAATTGGTATGTATATAATTTGTAATAGTTTTATCCACAGTGAAAAGCAGTTGCTCAAATTACTTTTTGACTTTTAATTTAGGAGAATCTAAGTAGGGTAAATCCCTTCTTACTCTGAAAGCCAAACAATGAAAAGTAACAAACTGAATACTGGGCAGTATTTAGTAAGAGGGAAAACACATGAGCAGGTTACTGGAGTCTTCACACAAAAAAAGAAAATTTAGGATATAAAATAGATTTAGTGTGTACTCAGCCCAGTAATCAAGAGCAGTGGAATTGAGAACAGAAGATTGTGTTTTGAGGTCAGCCCATGCAAAAAGATAGGGAGATCTCATCATTCCATCTGTTGGGTGTGGTGCCTGTGAACCCAGCTACTTAGGAGAATCATAGTCTGTGGCCTTCCACAGCCAAAAAATGTGAGGCCAAACTGGGCAAAAAGTTATCAAAACCCATCTCAAGCAGTAAGTCAAGGGTAGTGGTGTGTGACTATAATCCTAGCTATGTAGAAGCATAGGTAGGAGGATCTACCCGAAAGATAACTAAACCAAAGAGTGCCAGGGGCATAGCTCAAGTGGCAACCTGCCTAGCAATTGCCAGGCCCTGAATTCAACCCCCCAGTATCACACACACACACACACAAAGACAAACAATGAAATTCCAGGGCACCATCTGAATTATCCCAAATTTTAAAAATTACTCCCACAATAGCTCCTTTAGTGCATTTTAGAATACTATAGGATTTTGAAAATTAGTAATTTATGTCAATATGACTAAAGACTAAAGAAAATATTTTAAATATGCCAGAGCTTAAATATCTGAAAACGGGTTGTTCAAACAATCCTGTCATCTTCAGAATCTGTAGCCTGTTCCCTAAAGTGGTAATTCTTAATTTAATAGCTTAAGCCATAAATTAAAACTAGTTAGAGAAAAATGTCTGAGTGAGGTAATAAAAGAACAAGTTATGACGGGCGGGGGAAGAACAAAGTATTTAAGGGAGTTCCCAAAATAGGGGATAAGTCTATAGTCTCACCAGAGCGGGAAAATCAAATCCCGGCCACTTGGCGCCGTATCTCCCTGCCGTGGGTGAAAGGTGGACTTGCCCTATAGCAATGACAGAGGTAGAGCATCACCATGACACCTGTTTGAGGTGCTTTGGGGACAGGTGCAGAGCGGCAAGAGGACAAACCCTTCTACAAACTAACTGAAACCCTAGGAGAAATAACGAGGCTGCCTAGAGAAAGGATGACGAGCTTTTAGCACATCGGGCTGATTTCAATGAGAAGTCGGGAGCTTGGTGCTGGAGGAGATGGAGAAATTTTTTGCCTGTCAGTGCCAAAAGGCAGTAAAGCGGAAGGAGCGGTGATCGCATTTTCCAAGTGTCATCCATGGCAGTTTGTGGAGGACATCAAAGCTACAGAAGAGAAAACCAGTAGTAAAAAGCCTACTGATGGTGAGAATGCTTACCATTTGGAAACAGAAAACGCAAGCCAGAGGAAAGAAATGTTTAAAAGTTAGCTATACTTATGCACGCAAAATTAACGGGGCCCCTAAGCAACCGGGAGTCATTTTGTCCAGCCAGCCAAGGGCTCAACGAAGCCCTGCCCGCCCGTACCCCCAGGGGCGGGGCGGGGCGGGGCGGGGCGGGGCGGGGCGGGGCGAGGCCGACCAGGCGCATGCGCGCCCCTGCCCCGCCCACTCCGGCTCAGGCGCAAGCTCCGTTGCCTTACGTTTCCCGCCGTCCCACCGACCCTGTCGGCCAATCATCTTCCGAGTCCCTCCGGCCTAGTCCTACACATCTCGGCGCTCTTTTGCGCCCCCTAAAAACACCCCACGGAGCCCCTCAGGGCGGCTGGTAAGGAAGCAGAGAAGCGGTGGCTTCAAAGCTTGCGGGGAATGCGGAGCGGTCATCTGCGCGCCGACGTCAGCACGTCAGGGTGACCCCGCGCCTCCGGACGTGCGCGGGAGGGAGGCCTGGCACGCTGCAGCCAATGAGCGCGCGACCTGTGGCCCGCCCTCTGTCAGCTCCGCCCGAGCGGCCCGGCTGGGGAGGGAGGGGACTGCGCTGCGGGCGGGGAGCCTGTCAGTGCTGCCGCCTGGGGACGGTGGGCGGCCGGCTGGTTCGCACGGCTGGTGCCCAGTGCATGGGCGCCGTCGCACAGCCCGCCGGAGGAGTGACCGTCCTGCGTTTTAGAGCGGGGAGGGAGGTGGAACAGAGCAGACAAAGCCCCGGCGGCAGACCCCTGCCAGAACTGTAAGGAGCGGAGGGACGGGTGGGTGGGGTCCTGGGACGGGATGAGGGTCGCCGCGGCCGCTCGAGCCGCCCTGGACGTGTCCACGTGCTGACTGCTCATTTGAAGCCATGCCGGGGCGGGCAGGCATCCGCATCTGTTTTAACTCGCTTCGAAACTAGAACGCAACTTAGGTGTTATTGTTTCCGACTGAAATATTTTCTCAAAGTCTTTCCCTTACAAGAAACTGTTATCACTTCAATCGCAAAGCAAGAGATTTAACCTATCTGATAAGATTTCCTGCTTTTGCGCTTTTTGGTTGCCTGTTTCTCTACCTGAGTATTCATCTGGAAAGCAATGAGAAATGCCTGCCGTCATTCCTCCTTAACGGAACAAACGGTTTTCAAAAACCTTGTAAGATAATTAATAACTAAGGAAAATCACAGCTCAAATGAGAGCAGCCCAGGGCTTAATTTGGTTTAAATAAGTTACTTTCAAATAAAAATTGTGCAAAAGGCCAAAGCTCAATCTTGGAACCTCTACTTGGCAAACAATTTCTGTATCCGTCAAAAGTAATTTAAGCAAAACAAAAGTTTTTCTTACAGTATCCCACAATTTAAATTTCTCACAGTTTGGATAGATTTGTGCCCAATTTGGTTTGAAGCACAGATGTAGTCCCTTACTCAGCGCAGAATTTAGATTAACATTAGAAATGTTTATGAAACAAGCTGGTATCACTATTAAGTAGATTAAAGTAGCCATTTACGCTGACTTGTAAGTGAATTGTATCCTTCCACCCCCACCCCCACCCGCCCCCTCCTGGACTCAGTTTTCCAGGGTGCCTCACCTGGGAGTTCCCATCCGTGCTTATCTGGGTCATTACATTTGCTGCAGTGTGGTTTTACCTGCTTATGTCTGTTTTCCATTTCTCCCTCCCTCTCTCCTAGACCATAATTCTTTAGAGAACTGAACTTGGCTTAATGTTGTTCTAGTCCTAGTACTTTACACAAGACCTGGCACAAAAGTGTGGGATAAATGCCTCCTTGATGAATGGGTAAATTAAAGACGCACAGTGCCTTAAGACAGTGTAGCTCCTTCCTTTTTTTTTTTTTTAAGCATACCTGAGACCTGTCCTAGTCCTAGGAACCACTGTTACTGTGGATAGTAACCACTCATTGAGATTTTGCCTGAAGACTAGAAGCCTTCAGTTGACGTGAATGCCCCAGGCTTTTTTGTCTCTTGCACAAGAGAGAATCCACCTCTCTTGTATGTCTTTAATCTGCTTGGAGTATTTTGATTTTCTGTGTGCTAGTCCTATAAGAGAGAGAACATTAGATCTGAATGTTCTAGTTTTCTTAGCAGTGGTTTCTGAAAGTCCATTAAACGATTGACATTCTGATTATTAGCTGGACCTCTGCTTATTTAGTTTTCCCAGGGCCTGCTGATTTCAGTCAGAAGTGATCAAATTGGGTTCTTAGTCTTGGAAAGTTAAGAACTAACCCAGGAGGTGTGCCACATGCAAAGGCAGTCAGCCATGCCTACTATCCTCCTGGGCTCTAACATTGTTTCCACTTAGAATTTCATCATTTTTAAAAAATGCAAAAATAGATAAACTCTACAGGGAACAAGGAATTTGTTCAAGCAAAAGAACTTAAAATCTTCATTTGATTTTTAGCATAGAATTGTATATCTAAATATCCCTCCCGATGTTTTTATTAATGGGGTATTTTGTAAGAATTAAGCTTGCAGAGTTTCCTAACAAGATACCTCAGAATCCTCTCTGTAGCTAGAACCAGGATTCTCTAAAGCAGTGGATCTCAAAGGTGAACAAGCACCAGAATCGCTGGAGAGTATATTACACCACAGATTGCTGGAGGTGCCCTGTCTTTGATTCTGCAGGACCCATGGCCCTGATGGTCTGCATTTCCAACAAGTTCCTCTGGTGGTGTTGCTGCTTTGAGAATCTCTGCCTCTGCCTTATCCTTTTCTCTTTGCCAAAACTGGATCCTGATCAGGTCACGCCTTCCCTGTCACTTGGTCTTCAGAACCCACTCTTAAAGGGAAACACTATAAAGATTCACAGGACTCCAGGGGAAACATCAGTGTTCATTCTGATTCTTTACCAGAACTAGAAAATCTACTTTAAATTTTTCCCAGTGATTTATGTAGGAAATGACTACCTTAGAACAATAATTTGATTGAGTAGATATCAGAATTATTAACAGAATATCTTTCTATGTGTAGGCATTTTGTTTTGTTTTTTCATTTTTGAGACAGGATCTTGTTCTATAGCCCAGGCCGGCCTCGAACTGGCAATCCTCCTGCCTCAGCCTCCCAAATGCTGGGATTTACAAGGGTGTGCCACCACACCCAACCAGTATAAACCTCTTCTTACAGAAATAGAGCTCAATTATGGTTGTGAGACGGGAAATTTTCCAGAAAAAGGTCACATTTCCTCATCCCCATCCCCCACGGAACAGTCTCTTTAAAAAATCAGTATTGAGTAAACCTCAGGGGAGGGTACAGAGAGAACCCCTCCCCTCCCTTCTCGCCATTGACGGCCAGGCTGACCCTGGCAGAGGGTCCAGGCAGGAGGAGGCAAAGGTTGGGGCTGCGAGCCCCTTAGCTAGAGCTGAGAGTCCAGCTGCCACCTCTGGTGAGCAGGATTGGACCGCCATACAGTTAGTTCCTTCTAGGCTCAGCAGTGCAACTTAAGAGTTTAATGGGGGCTTCAGTGTGAAGGCAGAGGAGCTGGTGGTCAGTTTAGGAGTAATGAGTGCCCTAGTAGGCGTGCCTTAGTGACCCCAGAGAGGTGGCAGCCTGGCCTCGCTGTCTCTGCTCACATTGCAGGCAGCCTCTTCTCCCACCCTCTGTTTTCCAGCTAGGGAGTCTGTGGGGACTGGAAGGAGGCCAGAGGAAAGGGACAAATTTGTGCATGGAGAGGATAAAGGGTGCCACTCATCCCACTCATCTCTTGCTAGTGGGAATGTAAAATGATACAGTCACTGTGGAAAACAGCTTGATGACTCCATAAAAAGTTAAATATGGCCAAGCAACTTCATTCCTAGGTATGTACCGAAATGAATTGAGAAGGAAAAAAAATCAGTGATATTCATGGTGGCAGTTCTCATACCACAGTGTAACTTTGTTAGACTCTCTTCAGTTTTCTTTTTTGAAGAGAAAAATTACTATTTCAAAACTTGTGGTTATTGCTTAAGTGCTAACTTTGGCTTCAGGTTGTAAAACTAAACCATTAGCCATTCTGATAGTTTCAAAATATTTTTTCTTAAAGTTTATAAAATTAAATCATTCAGTTGTACTTTTTGACTTGTATATAGCCTTGGAAATTTGCCTACTTTTTAAAAGATTCTCAGACTAAAGTTTTCCATTTGTTTGTTTGTTTGTTTATGTGTTTTATTTAGTGGTACTAAAGGAGTGAACTCAGGGCCTTGTGCCTGCTAAGCAAGTGCTCTACCACATGAGCCATACCTCCAGCTCTTCTTGATTTAGTTATTTTTCAGATAGGGTCTTGCTGTTTTGACAAGGTCAGTCTGGTACTATGATCCTCTTACCTATACCTCCCACATAGAAGGAATGATGGGTATGACCACAATGCCAGGCTTATTGGTTGATATGGGGGGCTGGCTTTGAATCTCAATCCTCTCTCTGCCTCTGGAGTAGCTGGGATCACAGTGCCTAGCCAGACTAAGATTTTTTAAGATTGTGATAATTTTGAGTTTGCCAGTCACAATATTTGTTTTCAGATAAAATGTTATATTTAACTGCATGTAAGTTTTTCCTTTTTTATAAAATAAAGATAAAATTCAATTAAATATGCACTGATTTCACTGGCTAACTTATGCTTCTGTCCAGCAGACTGTAGCATTGCATTAACTCAAAGTACTCTCTCCATTAGTGCAAATTTAAAATTCAGAATTGATGGGCAGTTTAGAGTGACTGTAGTACACAGGTATTCCTGCTGTAATTCCACACACGTTTCTGGAAATCCCAATACCATGCAAGATAATTCATTTATGGGGAAAAATACCACTCAAAACTTACAAAATTTTATAAGAGCACTAACAAAAGTCATATTAAGTCTAGTATAGACAAGTTTCATCGAAGTTAATATTTTATTTAGTCTAAAAGTAGCCTTATCAGTCATTTACCCTCTGGCTTCCCAGAGTGTTTGATGTAGTGAAGCTGGAAGCCACTAGACATCCTGCTTCTTAAGCCCAAGGAAGGAACTAGTGAGGGATTTTCTATTTTTTCCTTAAGGTCTTTACTATCACTAAAGGTTTCCTTTTAGTCCTTTTAGTAGAAGCCCACCTCTACTGACTGCCAATCACTAACGTGCTGGAGGAAATGCATGTTTCCCCATTTGCCATTTGCACGTAGGCTAATTCACATTAAAGAGACTTCTCTTAACCATTTCTATTACTTAATAGATGAGGAAACAAACTCAGAAAGTTGCCATAACTTGCCAGCCTGGACAACATAGCAAGTTCTGAGCCAGCCTGGGCTACACAGTGAGATCCTGTCTCAAAAACAAAACAAAATAAAATCTCTTTCTAAATTTAGAAACCATGATTTAATGTTCAGACTTTTATTTGAATATTAATGTGGGAGGATCACCTTTCCAAGAACTTATGTCCTTTGTTAATTATTTCTCAGTAGTAGTTTAATTTATATCCTATAATTACAGAGTACATAGCAAATGGACTAATTTTTCTGGACAACTGAATGGCGTTACTTTACAGAATTTTTATTTTTGCTTTATTTTTATGGAAATGTTTCTAAATCATGCTACATTGTTCTGTCTTATGTCCAACATACATTATAGCCCATAACTGAAAGTCATTAAGTAGGACTGAGGGTGTGGTAGAGGTTAGAGCACTTGTCTACTATGTGAAAAACCCTGGGGTTGGTCCTCAGCAGAAGGGAGGAGAGAGGAAAAAGGGAGGAAGGGAGAGAGGGAGGGGAGAGAAGGAGAGAAGGAAGGAAGTCAGTCAGTCAGTCAGTC